GCTTCTGATTTCAGTGCTGACAGAAAGTAAAAAAAAAAAAAAAATCCATCTTGCTAAAATGTAGTCAGACAGCAGTTTGTCTTTCCAAAACATTATTAGGTATTATTACAGAATGTGAACACCTTTCATTCCTGACAAACAGGAAATGTGTGCTGCACTACTGGTATGTCAATCAGAGTGATAGCATCAATTTTATGGTTTTTAATTCATTCCCACCTCCTGCCGAGCCTTTTGCTCATCCCAAATTATGAATCTTAAAAGGTACGTGATTAAGAAGGGGAAAAAAATATGCCTCTGTCTGCGTGAGCTACTTTGTGAAGAGCGTGGAGGCAGACACATGAGAGATTTGTAAAGCACGTCCTGACCACCCAGTGAATGGACAAGTGACTTCCTGTAGCCGGGAGGGCTCCTTTATGCTTTTGCTTTAGTGTTTTCCTAGCAACTCAAGCGATTATTTTTTATATGCATCGGCACCTTTACATTTGATAAGGAGCCTTTATATGCAGTGACACCTTTACGCTTGATAAAGAAAATAAATTAGACATTAAAAGCCACATTTGTCACTCCAGGATGCTTCAGTTACAGTTTTGATTTGAGTTTTCAGTGTCTATTTCTTTAGCTGTGGTATTTTGTTGCTTTTGATATATGATAAAGGATAAATACAAAGTCAATTCTGGAGCCTGGCTTTGAATGAATCAAGAAATCTTTCTTACAGTCCTTAGTTTCCATCCCTGAACTCTTTTCTTCGACATGTAATGGAAATGAAGAGCATTGCCAGCGTCAGTAGGAACTGAGGCTGTTTAAAAATAAATTAATAACGTGCTTGTGGGGAGAGAGAGAGAGAGAGAGAGAGAGAGAGAGAGAGAGAGAGAGAGAGAGAGAGAGAAGAGAGAGGGCGAGAGAGAGCATGCACACAAAACACAAGCTACTTCTCAGCAGGGGGTTTGGGAGCCTGGGGTGTCTGAATCTGTCCTCCTCTGCTCATCTCTGGTTTCTGGTGAGGAGCCATTATTCTCATTTTCCCTCTGCAGCTCCACCTGGACTCCATTTGCTTCCACAAACTGCACATATCACACTCTTGTTTAAGATTGAGGAATGTGATCTGATAGCTGCTGATTGGAAGGTGAAGCAATAATTAGCAATTGGTCAAGGTCAATTTCCCTTCCTGGCACTGACAACAAAGTGAACGTTTCCATCGTTGACAGACAATTCTCTCTCTGCTGATAGCACATGATAACATATTTTGTGGATTTTTAATAAGAACTTTCACCGTCTGGTGGCCTCCATGTTTAAACCACTCTTGGCCATTTCAGCCTTAACTGAAGTGTTAGTACTTGAGTGCTTCAGTGAGAGTGCATACAGCCTTGAAGGAACCCATGTGGCCTTGGCTTGTGAAGAATTTCTCATTCTGATTTTTACCACAACTTCTCTATGATTCAGAAGTGAAGCATTCTGGTTCTCTTTTATGCAAGAAAGCAAATGTAGAAAATAAGCCAGGGTTCTTCCTTTTCTGGTGGGGCACCAGCAGAACCCTCTGAGTTCCGAGAGTGATGATAACTCGGCATGCACAAGTGTGGCTAATACAGCCTTGTAGGGAGGCAATGCCCTGCAGGAAAGCTGCCATTCCCACTTGGGAAGAGGAATGGACCAAGGATCCTTCAAAGGGGCCTTCTGTGAGGGCTTGCCCCACAGCTTCTTTTCCTTGTGATGTGGTGTTAGCATTTTCAAAGTGTATGTGTATGCTCTCTCTCACTTCATTCTTCGTTTAGATATCGCATCACCTTGTAATAGAAAAGGACACTGAAACTTAGGGAAATTAGGCTGCTTTCTTTAAGTTCATGGAGATGGTAAGTGGCAGCACTAGATTTTTAACCCATGTTTCCTGACTCCAAATCTAGTGCTCTTTGCTCTACTTTATGGTTGCTTGTGATTCAAACCACTTATTTGGCACGTATTTGTGTTTAAATTCTCAATTAGATAATCTGATTGTGAATTCCTTAAGAACACTGGCATGTTTTATAACAGAGATTTGCATATGGTGCACACTAAATGAATACTTTTGATTGATTAATGAGTTAACCAGTTTTACTCATTCTCTCTTTATATGGTGTAGCATTTTATCATATCACAAATGTTTACAGACATTACAAGGACTACGTTGGAAATTGGGAACACAAGGTGATTGTTACAAACTAAATGTTGTATCCTCCCCAAATTCATTGCTATAAACGAATATTTGTGTTCTCCCCTACCCTATAGCATTACTCTAAGGAAGTAATGAAGGTTAAATGAGGTTATAAGGGTCGGACCCTAAAATGAAAGGATTAGTGTCTAGAAAAACAAATACCAGAGAGCTAGCTAGCACTCCCCTCCTTCATCCTTCTCTCTCTCTCTCTCTCTCTCTCTCTCTCTCTCTCTCTCTCTCTCTCTCCCCAGTGTGCATGTACTTAGGAAAGGCCAAGTGAAGACATATCAAGAGGCATCTGTCTATATGCCAGGAAGAGAACCTCTCCAGAAACTAAATCATCTGGCACCTTGAACATGGACTTCTAGTCTCCAGAACTGTGAGGAAATACATTTCTGTTGTATAAGCCACTCAGTCTGTGGTATTTTGTATGGCAGCCCAAGTGGACTAATATGCTGATTAAAACACAATCTTATTCAAGCAGCTGATTATCCTACGGGATGGGTAGAAAACAGCCATGGCGATATAGACTAGTTCAATATACACTCATGTGCTCTGTCCCTTTAGGAGTGAAACTCAAGGTTATTATATCAGTGGGATCAAAATGCCCTCAAAGTCAAAATGGCAACGTCAAAATGGTTGAGGATATACCATACTTTTTAGAATTGCATATAGCAGTACTTAAGTCTTCATGGTTAGGGGGTGAAAGTGAGAATCATGGCAAAAAGACATCAAAAGAAGATGAAAGTCTGGGTCTTAAAGAATTAATAGTAGTTTTCTAGGGAATAAGGAAAGAAAGTATATGTTCCTCAGAGGTAGAAGTGAACATGTTGAAATCCTGGATTCTGGACCTTAATTAATTCATTACTCCTGGAGCTTAGGATGTACATGAAAAAGCTGTAGAAGATAACATTCGAAAGAAAAGAGTCAGTTCCTTAACAATCTTCATATGTTAAGCTTACAATTTGGACTTTAATAACCTGTGTAGTTATAGAATCAGATTTGCAGAAATTTATTCTCCATGCTCCGTGGAGATTATACTGGAACCCAGCCTTGGGGTTAGGGCATGGGATGAGATTTCAGGGAGTGATGCTGGAAAATGAATTCTCTATGGAAGCGGCCTTTGATATTACCTCCTTAGCTATAGGACAGCCACTTCAGAATTCAAGTAATCTTATTTTAATTATGGCACTGATTTCTAGAAAAGAAAAAAAAGAGTAACATTTGTCCCTGTGGATGCCCACCTCACCAGTGACATCCATGCTCTGGTTCTCATCAAAACCAGAGTGACTGCCGAATGAGCAAGCTGGTGGGCTGCTGAGAAATTCAGCATTCTCTACTTCTTCTTCTGAACACTGCTTGGTTTCATTTTTATGAAGTACCACATTTTGCTTTGTTTTTAGCTGGACTTCCATGAATTTTCTTAATCTGATGTTTCAGGGAGCAGTAAAAAGAACAGAAAAATATGTTTACTGAGCAATTACTAATGCATGCCCTGAGCCGTCACCTGATCAGGATGCTTTAGACTGGAACTAGTTGAAATATGGGAGAAAATTCATTGCTTTTGTGGTGTGAATTGGATTTTTGTGTATGTGCCTAATTCATTTTAAAACAATTGTAAAATCACTACTCTTAGACTCTTCTGAGAGTAACTCACATGTGAAAAAGGTGGAGAGCTTTGTCTCATGATTAATATGCCTTGCATCTCAGTATTCTGTTCCTTCTTTCTTCTTCAAGCACATTTAAATATCAGTTCATTGGAGAGGGACTGTTCTCACTTTTATGTGTCACATGGAATCCTCGAAACTGACTTGACCTGTTAGTGCTAACAACACTGATGATTGGTTATCATGGCACCTGCAGATGCCTTTCTTCGTGGGCACTTATTATCAACTGGGAAGCTTGTCACCCCAGTTTGCTCAGAGTGTTTCCTTATGACTGCGTTCTTACTAGCTGTAAGTAACTCTTTTACTCAACGGGGAACAAGGGCCAGATGGCTGGCAGACATGTGCTTGAGACTGGGTGAGTCTCATTTGTTCTCTATTTCTTGTTACTTACTGTCACTCCTTAGCTAACCACACATAAGGAACCCACCCTGTGGGCTGCTTTTTGCTGTGCATATCTGAGACATGATTACAGTAATATGCTTCTTATTAACATTATTGTTATTATGATTTTCTTTTTGTTGTTGTTTTAATCTGCCTCATTTTTTTGAAAGGTGAGATAAAAATAAATTCTACCATGGTAAGCAGGTCAGCCAGAGCACAGATGTGTAGATACAAGAATGTTGTCCCCTCCCAATTAATAACCTTGAAGCTATTCCAAAAACAATGTTATAGATAAAAAATAATTTTATTTGGGAAATTCTCTTTTGAAAATGTCTTTAGAGCCTTTGCCTATCAATCACACAAATCATCGTTCTCTGAGGGTGGGTTTGATATTTCTTTTAAAATTCATTGAACAAATAATTATCAGGTGCTTGCTAAGTGGCAGGCAGTATACCAGGAGCAAGGAGCAAGACAGACATGGGTTCTGCCTTCAAAGACATTGAAGATCAAATCTGAGATGAATGTCTGAGTCCTGGATAATACCTTTCCTGGTAAGAGAGAGATGTGACTATACAATGACAGTCTTAACTGCCTGAAATGACATTTTTAAAAAGGAGATTTAAAACATTTTGAGTAATGGCAGCATTTCTAGAATGACTCTCAAATATATTATCTAGAAGACAAACACTGACTTTTTAATGCACACAATATAGTGCTATATAGTTTATTGAGCATTTTATGTACATTATGTCACTCTCTACTTACAGGAACTCTGGATTATTGACTGGCTTTGAGTACCCATTTCCTCTCCTATAAAGTGAGTGATTTCTAGATGTCCTCTATGTCTAAAATTCTGTGATTCTTATGCTCCTCATCTCATGCATTCACATAGCATGTATTATTTTAGAATAGTTCCCTGTGATCTATCCAGTTGAGGGTCTGCCAAGCAGAGATAGGGTCCAATATTTTATCCTGGGGCTGGTAGGTGGTGGCATGAGGTCTGGGACTCTGCCAGGCTGGGCATCTAGAAGCCTGGCAATGCATGGACTGGGCTCACCCTCAGCCACAGGGTGAGAAGCAGAGGGAGTCTTGGTTGAAATCCAAGTGAGCGAGCCCTCCTGAGAGTGAGGGAGAGTCCGAAATATCAAGCTCAAAAGATCAGGCAGAGTGAGATGCAGACTCAAAGAAAAATGTTAACTAGAAAAAGAGGTTGAGGAGGGCAGAACCCAGAGGGTTACCTGAAGAAACAAGATTTCTTTTGTGTTAGAGACAGAGCCCAAGAGCCATTAGAGTGATGAGCCAAAAAAGGGAAATAAAAAAGGCTTTCTTTCTTAATTCAATCAGTGAACAACAAAAATGAAAAGAAAGTGTGAAAATGTAGCTCTGTTTTAAAATTTTACCTCATTAGTTTTCCCCAATCAATAGCCCATTCTTAGAAAATGCAGCGTGTTTATCAAATAGGACAGCTTGGTGATTTCTAGATAGGACAAGCAGTTAGAGACCGAAATGGAGGTTTCTCTTCATATCATAATCTGAACAACTTTGAGACTTCTTTATCCATATAAAAAATAACATATGCTTATAAGTCTATTCATTAGATCTAAAAATCTTATGTTTTTCTGACAAAATGTATACACAGTAAGTAAAAATTCAGAAGAGGTCATAGCCATACTAAGAGATAAATGTAGCCTTCGTGGCTTTGACTACATACATACACAGGTACACACACACACACACACACACACACACACACACAGAGTACACTGTGAGAGCATTTCTTGGAGCTGTGGGTGTGACAGAGCTCCTATACAAAAACGTTTACTTTGGACCCGTAGTTCACCCCATTTGGCCCCCATGCTCAGTGTCCGTACCTGTGTTCTCCAGCACTCCTTATGCAGGAGGACAGCAGATTGTCCAGGAGGGATAAAGATACAAGAGATCAAATTTTGCACAAATCACAAGTAAAAGAAACTGCTCATTATCTGTTTCTAGCTTCCTACTTCTGGTTGTGTGTCATTTTTACCCGGAGGCACGTTTACTAGCGGTGTTTCAAACTCATCCAAAAATTCATTTTGCTTGTTCTCCTGTTTATTTTTCAATCTTTTTTTCTGGAAGGTTTCTAAGGGTCTAGGTGTTTTTCCAAGTGAGCCATATTCCTGAATTTTAGCACCAGTTTCTGCTTACAGGCCTTTTTGCTTTGCTGTTGTTGTTTTGTTTCCCTGAACAAATTTATAACATTAGGTCACACTTTATCGAGACGCTCTATTTTCCATCTGCTCTCCATTTTTGCTCTATTATTAGGCTGTGCTTCTGGTATTCTGATCCCGCTTCATTTCCAGGACTCTCACTGACGTCAGTGGGGAACCTAGACCGGGGAGGGGAGCATGATATCAGCTTGTTTCCACGGGCTGTTTTGGGGAAAAAGTCTCGTCTCCTTGAGGTGGGACTTCCGTTGGATGGACCTGTGTTCATTTCCTACAGGGAATGGAGCCTCTGCGTCATATTTAATGCAACCACCAGGACAGGATGATACACTTGCTCAACCACCAAATATATTGACTTTCTGTTAAAAGGCTTTTAACATAAATTTTAAGAGAGCAACAAAATACATCACCGACGATTGCTGAGAATGCGGGGCTTCAAGTACGTTTCTCTTCCATTGATTTTAGTTAATATATTTTAACCACCCCCTTATTTTACTGTACCTTTTAATTTGTTATTCATTTGTTTGAAACCAGAACTCTGCTGAGGCGCTCCGGACCCACAGGAACTGAAATAGTTTGCCTTCACTATCTGGTAGACCTGCTCGAGCCTGTAGCCCCGACAGAAACCACAACACTGTACAAACTGGCAACTGTGGGTTTGTCTGTTCTCTATTGATTCTATTTCTGGAAGAAAAAAAAACAACATACACGAACCAATGAGTGAGCCACGTGACTGTAAAACTGACCCAAAGCTCCCGTTCAGAACGAGGATGGTGACCCTTTGTAGACAGGGCAGGATGGGACCCCAAAACTTTTCTGTTTGCCTCTTAACCGTGCATGACCTTTGGAAGCTTTGACTTGTAAGTTTAATTCCTTGTTCTGGAATATGAAACCACTATAGAGTCTTTTTTATTTTATAGCATGTTATTTAAATTTGGGCCTATTGTTCCAAATATCTAATAACACATATAATAGAGACCCAGTATGACTTTGCTTAAATATCTTAGCTCTTTCTTCCAACGTGAGAATTACAGGGCAACTCCACCATAAGGCATTCAAGAAAACAATACACGTGTACTTTCCAAAGTATGAAACTGCAACTGCTGTCGTGTTCCTTTTTCTTGAGCTTTGGTATCGGTGCTAAATCCCAATACTCAAGTAAATAGAATGCATGACTTCTGTGTAGTATGGACTAATGAAAGAGCTCTCTCTGGTCTTGGGTCTAAGAAGCAATGTGTCCTCGATCTTCCCTCTCTTTCTCCATTACATGTCAGATGATGAAATGATCTCGAAGTCTTGTTCTAGTTCAAAGATTCAAAGTGAATAAAAGCCCTTGATAACAACAGAGAGATCCAGGTAGTGGGGAACACATCCTATTAAGCACCCACGCACGCACACCCACACACATACATACACACCAGAAAAACCAAAATAGCTCCCCTCTCATCTTCCCCCAACAATGACAATGTAGCCATCTGTTGGATGTTCCATTTCACTTAGCAGCTGCTCTCAGATACAGAAATCTGCATTCCTCTGGCTTGTGCTGGTATGCATGCAGCATGTGTGGTTAATAGCATTTGACTCTCCCACCCAAAAGAATGGCTTTCATTGAATAAAAATGATCACAGAAAGTTTCCTACTCTCCCATCATGTAAAATGCCTCCACATCATCCACCCCCCCTCCCCATGATAGGCATTTGGAGCTATCTCTGCTCTTGTGTGTTTCAAAATATATCCTCTTAGATATATTTACATCAAACAGTCATCTAAAATTGAAGGGACAGCCAATGAAACTCTTGCCTTGCTAGAAACTTCAGCCCTGAAGGTGTGTGAGAGAGGTCAGAATCTAAAGTTCCATTCTACTTTTATTTTGTCAATACAAACAACATTGCACTTAACACTGACAAGTGAATGGTGTTCAAAAGGAAATCAGGAGGCTTTCAAAAGCAACATGAATCATACCATGAAACTAAAGGAGAATTTATATGATGAATTTCCAAAAGGGACAGAAGAGTAAAGTTGTTTAAATATTCTATCCCCATCCCCTTGTCTCTGCTTCAAACTGAAACTTTGTCTTTGGTGAGGTATAGTATATAAAGTAGTGTATCATTTTAAGGGAGGCATTTGGATTGGGGGTTGGGAGGAGCCAGAGTTATAAACAACAAAAAGGATTCTATAGGCTCTGCAAACAGAGAACCTTGGGTAAAATTGGATCTGCTTTTGAGTACATAATTTAGGACATTTGTTACAAGATTACTGTGGTTTTCTATAAATGTTAGTTTGCCGTATTATTTTCCATGAACTAGTTTTCCAAAATGCAGAATATTTTGCCCCCAAAACATGGAAGCACTAAAGCTCAGATGAGGCACTGATTCATGGGGAGTCACCCAGAAACAGCTGGTCAGCCATCTGCAGCCCCAGAGTCCACTTAGTTTTACTTTGTTCAGCTAATTCTTTCTGTGGAAGGAAAGAAGATGCATCAATCCTGGGAGCAGTGCATGGCTCGTGTAAGAAAATGATGACTAACTCCTGCCCGAGACTGGTATCTGGTGGCCTGATGTGCTGATTTGGAGAGGCGGCAAGTTTCCTATGTGCATTAGGCTTTCAAACTCTTTACTACATGTGCATTATTTTCTGTGCATCCTGTTCTCTGGGAAAGGGAAAGAAATGATGATACACCATTGATTGTTTTGTGGGAATTGTTCCAGATTAGAGCACCCTCGAGAGCCATAACTGGCCTTTTCAAGGCAGGCAGAAGAGCCAGCAGAATCAAGGACGAGCCTGGAAGTCAAACTTGCATGTTTGTCTACTCATCTCTCAAGAGTCCTCAATTAGACCTTTTAACTGCCCCACATTCTGTGTTCGAAAAGTGTTGGGGATAAAGGTACTATTGGACACAGATTAAAAGACAAATCATGATTCAATGTCATCATTATATTAAATAAAAATGCTGAGTAAGTAGATAGTGCTGTTTTATTTTACATGTTGACATTATTGTCATAAAGTTGGTAATTCTATCACAAGTAGCCTGGGCTTCCCTAAATTGGGTAGGGGGGACTTGACAGATGATGGATGTTTATGTAGTCCCTTCCTCATGGTACTGTAGGCAGTTCTTTTGGATAACAGAGCCAGATGACTGTGTGGGAAGGAAAATGTTCTCCCAATTCTAGGAAGAAGGCGCTCAGGTACACAGGTGTATGCTGCACACAGGCAGGCGTAATCATAGTTTAATCAAGTTGTTTATCTCTGGAGACCAGTTTTGGCACACCATTTTGTTTTCTTCTTGAATCATCAAACTCTTTTGCCCTTTCCCCCCATAGTGTAGGTATGTGTGTGTGTGTGTGTGTGTGTGTGTGGTATGTATCCTCGTTTAAATTTTTTTATCACTGACTTTTTAGTTTTCTTAATGACTTACATAACTACACTACAAGATGTGTTCATTTTTACAGACAAAAGATAGAGAAGATAAACTTTTAATGCTACATATAGCCTGTGTGGCATTATTTAACCCAGGGCAAAATTTACTGATCACCTCTAATTTTTTTTGTTATACAACCATGAAAAGACTTTAGGACAGTTGACTAGAACAAAAAGCAAGTGCACCTTTAATTGATAAGGCATACATTTTTAAAAAACGAATCAGAAAACCATCTGTACTGTCAACTTTTGTGTCTCTTATTCATTCCTGTTTACTCTGCTATTCAATCCAAATAAAGATTGTTTCCACCTCAGCAACACAAAAATCACATGGACTATCCTTCAGGCTGTCAGTCAGAGGAAAGATATACATATGCCCAAAGTATACACTTGTGCTTGTTCGCAGTGTTATTTGAGGAAAATATGTTGCATGTTCTCCTGGCTCTTCTAGTTTTACATTTTTAATTAATGCAATTTATTCTAATTTATGACAACAGTTTGAAAGGCTTGCTCTCCATTTTCCCATTTATAAAGAAGCGATTTACATAGAAGGGGAAAAGCAGTAGGGAAATTGGATTACTTTGCACAGTCAGGTGGAAAAATCTAGTGGACCTTGTCTTAAAGTGAGCATTGTGCTCTAGGACTGAGTGTAAGGACGTCTCTCTCAGAACATCCTTTTCTGCCTCTTTGGAGATAGGAATAAAATTATGGAGAACTTCTTTTCTGCTTCCTAAAGAAAGTATATACAATTTAGTTAATTACCTCCACCTCCTCTCTTGTTCTCTATTCCTGTACTTATACAGCAGCTATCACTGTAGTGCCTACAAACATTGGTAAGAGTGCTGTTTTAGAAATAATAAATAAATTAAAAAGCACAGTGCAGGTTAAAAAAGCAACCTCAGATTTTTCTTTGTTCTAGCATAAGCATCCTTTAAGGCAGAAAATAATGGGACATCTCCATGATTTTAGAGGGCTTTTAATAGCCTTGAATAAAAGGGATTGGCCTCATTGTGCCTGAAAAAGTGCCTCAACTATAGTAGGTATTTAAAGAATATTTGTTGCTTGGCATCACTGGTATCTATTATTCTCCAATATCTTGTTTAAAAACAAAGCCTCACCCTAGATTGCTCTGCTCTGCCTTCGTTCTCCCTTGAGTGCTTGTTGTGAAAGAACCGTTTGGTGGAGAAGAAACTCAGACAGAAAGATGATAGGGAGCACATGTTGATTTCAGGGCAAATATAGGATCTGAATCTCCCTTGGAGCTCTCATGAAATTCTGTTGGCATATGGTGCTTATCCTGCTAACTGTATATGCACAAAGTAGTCTATGGACATGTATAACTTCAGCTACTGACATCCTTAAAAGAAGTCACAAGTCATAGATGCTAAAATTTACCATTATGTATAACTCACTCAATCCCTTCATTTGTATTAACTCATTCATTTCTCATAACATCTCTAGGAGATATGTCCCATTATTGTCAGCACTGCTTTATAGATGAAGAAGCTGAATAATGGAGGTGTTGAGTAAGTAGCCCAGACCATTCAGTTAGTAATGACCAGTGAAAGGGGTTTGAACCTGGGTGGTCCCACTCCAGCATCTATGTTCCTAATTACCACACAATGCCTTCTATCTCTCTCTCTCAAACTACTTATAATTTCCAGACTGGATTTGAACTTTGGGCTGAGAACAAACCTCTAGGGTAATGTGAGTTTAGAGCCTGGATATTGTCAGTACAGTAATGATCTACTGAACCTCAAATCTAAATCTAGCCTCAGAGTAGGCAATTGACCACAAGACTCCCAAAAAACTGCTGTCCTAAAATTATTCTTTGTTTATCTAAGTATTTAATGAAGTACATGCTTTGCCTGTGGCACCCAGGGCCTTACACTAAAACCATGCAGTCATTAAATAGACATTTATTGAGCATCTACTACATGAAATCACCATTGGGTGGGGGAAACAGAAACACATAAACAAATAGTTAAAATGTTGCTTAAAAAACAAACAAAAGTATGATTGGAAAACCTACAAAAATTATGGCAATAAGAAAAAAGATTTTGGCCTGATTAATGCTGGGGATTAGTACAGAGTAGAGACACCTACATGAAGAACGAGGTTCTTGAACTAAAGTCTTGAAAAGCTGATAAAGAGTTATGCAGTCAGAGAACTAGGTGAGGAAAATCTAGGAGAGGGAAGGTGCTTGTTTGTTCAGACTTGAAGGTATGAGAGAGCATGAAATATGGTGTAGCTAGAGTGAGGTGCTGAAGTGATGAGAGATGGGGCTAATTAGGTAAGCAAGGATCAGGCCACCTGTGGCCCCTATTCTGCAGGTAAAGGCATACCATGAGGGATGACATGCAGGGTGCTGATCTAATCTAACCACTTTTTTGAGCCCAGAAGTTGATGGCCTGGAGGAGGGTAAAGCTAAAGGGAAAAGAATCAGTGAAGGACTTTTCTGGCATAGTGCTAGACACTAAACATAACATAACCTTTACTATTCAAAACAATCATATGTACAAGATATCATCTCAACTTTATAGAATAAAAAAAAAAAAAAAACTGGGATGAGTAACTTTCCCAAGATGTTAGAGCAAATAAGTGACTGACAGCTGTTGTAATTTCATATCAGTTAGACTCCAACCCCTTCCCATTTCCCACTATATCATGTTGTCTCCTGTTTTAATGTCTTAAAAACAGAGTCTACACTTTCTGTCTACACTTCTTTTCAGTCTCCACTTTGACTCTCAAAACTTCAGTGTGCTTCCCAGATGCTCCTCCTAATCCTTTGACCTGTCGGCCTCTTCTGCTGCATATTTTCTTCAGCCTTCCTTCGACTCTTTCTGTTTCTCATAATTCTCCCTTCAGCATGCTACTCTTCTCATTCTCCTTCCTGTCATGGTCATATCTCCTCCTTGACAAGATCACTTCTTCGGAAGTAAGCCCATATATGCCACATATCCCATGCAGGAACCTGAGAAGTCACCCTATGTCCCTCTTTTCGTCTAACTCTCAACACTAAGGGTGTTCCCATGGCCTGTTATT